AAGAGGGGCGTGGAGATGTGACTAATGAACAGAGAACTTGTTATTTTAGTGCCAGGAATGTCTTTCTTGTTTATTCTGGATCCTATTTGGAAATTGACATCTTTTGAAATTTGTGTGAAATTGGCAAAATTGCTAAATTCTGACCACTATATTGGATAGTTGAAATCAGTAAATGGGTGGTTTCTTGTACTCATTCAATAGAAAAAATGGAGTCCTAGAGAAATAGTTATGATTTTTGTCGACTAGTACACTGGAATTGGCCGAAAATAGGGCTCAAAGTGGGCAAAATCGCCAATGCGTAAACATCGTCGAGACCACTAACTTTGCGAGAGCATAATTCCATAAGTTTTCTATCAAATTTCATACTTTTGGTGTCATTATGATCGGGAAAAGATTCTGTATCTTTTCATAAGAAAAAATAATTTTTTTTTAAAAATTGGCCGACCCTGAGAACCAGTCTCGCAGAGGGCCTGTCGACCCTCAAGGGTTAACAATGGCCTAAAGTGCAAAAGTCTAAGTGAAGCTGTAAAGTGCTTCTCATCAATGAAAAAGTGATAATTCTAGACTTATTTTATAAAATTTATCAATTAAACCTTATCATGGGTATGTAAATGAAAACTGATATATATATATTGTTCACTATTATCCAGGGTTTCGGGTATCCCTGGCAGGTCTTGGAAAGTATCCCCCGGGGATATTGGGGGCTACTATACTTTATTACATGTAAAGTATACATTGTACTGTACAAAGAAATGAAGGATTTGATCTGGGAAGTGCACTGTGCACCCCTCATGTCTGTGGCCACAAAAAAGTTCCCCCGTCTTCTAATAACAAGTTCATTTTTCGACTATAATCTACCTTGTCCACAATTACTATCACATTTGCTTTGTCTGAATTAAAAAACGATTCTAGATTCACCTTACAAAAACAGAGCAAATGCGATAATAATTATGGACAAGGTAGATTATAGTGGAAAAATGAACAAGTTATTATAAGGTGGGGGAACTTACGTGCCCTTTAAGATGCAGCTTCCAAGACCCTATCGTCAATGTTAAGTCAGGACTTACTGTATACAGTAGGACACCCGTATCCACAGGAGTTATGTTCCAAGACCTACTATAGATATCTGAAAAAAAACCATACACCGGCCGGGATTGAACCCGCGGTCAGAGAGTCTCAAAACTCCCGGCCGGTGTATGGTTTGTTTGCAATCGTGTCATTATGATTTCGTGAGTCAGTGATATCTGAAACCCTTGACAATAGTGAGCCCTATATTTAAGAAGTAATTTTTTGTTTACATACATAGCCATGGTAAAGTATAATTGATAAATTATGCACAATAAGTGGAGAATTATCACTTTTTTACTAATGGGAGGAACTTCACGACTTCTCTTAGACTTTGAACAACTGTCACCATCACTTACTTTTGTGCTTTAGGGCCATTATTATGTAAAATTAAGAAGTATTTTTGAAGAACAGTAAAGCATGTATAACTGAAACCATGGATACATGACCCGTGGATATGGGGGACCTACTGTATATAAGAGGTTAAGAGAGGGGAGTGTGAGAATCAGCTTCTCGTATACGACAAGTAACGTTACTGGTCACCTGCGTCTGATCACCTTCATGTGATCACCTTCGTGTGTTCACCTGCATGTGTTCACCTTCACCTACAAGGAACAGTAACAACAACTTGTAATAGTAACAAAGTCACAATACCGTGACTGGAACAATATACAAATAACCCGCACATAGCAAAAAGAAAAACCTGCAACACTCTGGACCAACTGGAACCATTAGCAAAGTCAATGGTCCAAGTTGGACCAATTCCAAGGTCACAATGGTCCAAGTTGGACCACATACAGTCACAATGGTCAAAGTTGGAACATTTACAGAGTCACAATAGTCCAACATTGTGTAGTTTTAAAAACAGGTTAGATAAATACAAGTGGGGGTGTGGGTGGGTGAGAGTTGGACCTGACTAGCTTGTGCTAATAGGTCTGATGCCGTGCTCCTTCCTTAAGTGAATGTGACCTGACTTTACTAGGTTGGGTTATTGGCTTTAAGCCGGTGGGAGACTTGGACCTGCCTCACATGGACCAGTAGACCTGCTGCAGTGTTTCCTCTTTTTTAATGCTATTTACAAAGTCACAATGGTCCAAGTTGGACCATTTACAAAGTCACAATGGTCCAAGTCAGACCAAAATGTCATTGTACACTTGTCTTCTATTTTCTATGTATGTCTTATTTTCCATTTGTGCATTATTCTATGTGCACGTTACTTGTGACTAGGTACAGTCCTTTCTACTCTGACATAAGATAGGCTTCATAAGCTTATCACATTATACACAAGACCTGAAAGGGCTATCACATTATACACTACACAAAACCTGATAGGCCCACCACATTATACACCACCTAAGACCTGATAGACCTATCACATTAACCCTTTCAGGGTTTCTGACGTACTAGTACGGCTTACGCACCAGGGTTTTTGATGTACTAGTACGCCTAAATTCTAGCGCCCTCAAATCTAGTGAGAGAAAGCTGGTAGGCCTACATATGAAAGAATGGGTCTATGTGGTCTGTACGCAGCATAAAAAAAATCCTGCAGCACACAGTGCGTAATGAGAAAAAAAAAAAACTTTGACCGTGTTTTTGGTTTAAAACAGCAACTTTGTACTGTATTTTCGTATGGTATTTATGATGGTATTCTAGCTTTCTTGGTCTCATTTTATAGAATGGAAGACATATTACAGAAATTGAAATGATTTTGATTGATTTTACAATGAAAAGTACCTTGAAATTGAGCTCAAAGCAGCAGAAATCTTCGATTTTTACCAAAGTTCAAAAGTAAACAAATCATGCCACGCGTCCAATACACGTCAACTGGCGAGTCTAATATTCTTTCACAAGTGCGCTGATATTATTTATACCATTTCTACACTAATACAGTAGTCTGCATAACAGTAAATCTTCTAATTTTTGTGAGAATAAAAATTGAAAGTGGAAAGCCAAAGAAATATAAGAGGGGCATGGAGATGTGACTAATGAACAGAGAACTTGTTATTTTAGTGCCAGGAATGTCTTTCTTGTTTATTCTGGACCCTATTTGGAAATTGGCATCTTTTGAAATTTGTGTGAAATTGGCAAAATTGCTAAATTCTGACCACTGTATTGGATAGTTGAAATCAGTAAATGGGTGGTTTCTTGTACTCATTCAATAGAAAAAATGGAATTCTAGAGAAATAGTTATGATTTTTGTCGACTAGTACACTAGAATTGGCCGAAAATAGGGCTTGAAGTGGGCAAAATCGCAGATGCGTAAACATCGTCGAGACCGCTAACTTCGCGAGAGCATAATTCCGTAAGTTTTCCGTCAAATTTCATACTTTTGGTGTCATTGTGATGGGGAAAAGATTCTCTATCTTTTCTTACAAAAAATAATTTTTTTTTTAAGTTTGGCGACCCTGAGAACAAGTCTGGGAGAGGGCCTGTCGACCCTGAAAGGGTTAAACACCACCTAAGACCTGATAGACCTATCACATTAAACACAACCCAAGACCTGATAGGCCTATCACATTAAATACCACCCAAGACCTGATAGACCTACCACATTAAACACCACCCAAGACCTGATAGGCCTATCACATTCAACACTACACAAGGCCTACAAATAGAAATACAATAGAAAACACAAATCCAAAAATCTTAACATTAACACAACTCACACATCAGTTTTGTACATAAAATCAATTACAACAAAAATCACGAACTATAAAATTGAAATTAATTTTATACATATATTCATGAAATTCAGAATAGAAAGGTTATTAATATTGCTTACCAATATTACCATGCAAAGACACATACAACTGGTGGTCCTCGGCTTACCATGAGTTAATTTCCGATATTTCAACTTTACGATGGTTCAACTTACAATATTTCAACTTTACGATGGTTCAACTTACAATATTTCAACTTTACGATGGTTCAACTTACAATATTTCAACTTTACGATGGTTCAACTTACAATATTTCAACTTTACGATGGTTCAACTTACAATATTTCAACTTTACGATGGTTCAACTTACAATATTTCAACTTTACGATGGTTCAACTTACAATATTTCAACTTTACGATGGTTCAACTTACAATATTTCAACTTTATGATGGCCCAACTTACAATATTTCAACTTTATGATGGCCCAACTTACAATATTTCAACTTTATGATGGCCCAACTTACAATATTTCAACTTTACAATGGAGCAGCAACAATTACTTTGGAGATGAAACTTAAGATAATTACCCAACATGAAGGCAGTAAGTCCCTAACTTGTATTCATTTTTGACTTTTCAATACTGGTACACCTACCATCCAACTTACGACCGAGTTCGGTTCCGAGAAACCGGTCATAAGTCGAAATGGTCGTAAGTCGAACTTTACTACTGAATATCAACAAAACATTTTTGTAATGACTTTATTTTGTTTTATTTTGGTATTTCATGTTTTACTTTACTTTTTATGCTGTTAGTACTGCATTTTATTCTGTAAGGTTTAAGATAAACACTGTGTACAACACAAATAGTTGTTTATTTCCCAGAAATTTGGCACAAAAAACACGGTCGTAAGTCGAGTGGTCGTAAGTCAAGCAGGTCATAAGTCGGATGGTAGGTGGGATGGTAGGTGTATTTAGCTACAGTAACTATTTGTTTATTGACTTATTCAGTAACAGTAGTTATTTACTGACTTACTTATCATATACATTTTCGACATGATATTTTAGGCTTATGTTGGGTTTGTCGGAATGTAACCCCATAGTAAGTAGAGGGCCACCTGCACCTCCATGCACTGCATAAGTATGTAAAAAATAAGGTGATATGGTCATTCATATATGGATGTACAATGAGGCAATGAAAAATGGAACGATGTAAAGCATACATACACACACAGGAGGCATATACATGCACTGTCCCACAACCAAGGTTCCCTTACCAACATTCGAGCAGGTGTGGCTGCTGGTATGAATCTCCAGGGCGGTGACGATCCTCCAAGTTCCAACTGGTCAAAAAACAGCCCACGTATCAACAAACACACATGCCACACCTCAGTGATCTACCTCATGACACTTTTCCAGTATGACGTGCATCTCTGGTGCAAGTGCCACAACTCGCTGCTTTACAGTTGCTCTGTGACACTTGGTGCCAGATATACACATCTTAAACCTGTACTCTGATGCAAGTGCTACAACTTGCTGCTTCACAGTCATTCTGTGACACTTGGCATCAGATATACAAGCCTTAATATACAGTTATGTGGAACATGCTATCCCATAGAGTGAGTACAACTGATGCTATACTCATTATATACAATACAGAGCAAGTATGTCATACACATTACATAAGTATACACATGAAATAACCATTGTGGAAAAAACAGTGAATTCACAAATGCTTTCGTGATTTCTCACATTAACAACGAACTGGCCTTAATAATGCAAGAAATTATGCAAAGTGCTCGGAAATTCACAATTTTTTTCACAGTGGTTCATTTGCAAATTGTGATATTACCTGTTTACTGTCATCTTACTGTATATAGTATACATGAGTTTACATAGCAGTCTCTGTATTTTCCATCACTGAATGGGTATACAAGTTATACATGACACGTCATAAGGTAGAATCAATAAGCTTTATAAACTCTCTTATAAAGCCCCTTTATAAAGTATGATTTTTTTCTTAATGTAATAAATTAAATCCAAAATTAGCAGCACATGAAAAGGGCTTTATATTATATGCTTTTTTAAATGGCCTTTTTTGATTACATTTTAAGATAATCCTATTGCAAAAAAAATGGCTTTATAAGATAGCTTACTTTGTTAATTCAAAAGGCATTTAAATATAGAGAAATGAATTAATGGTTAGTATTGAAAATTTGACAAGAGAGAGAGAGAGAGAGAGAGAGAGAGAGTGCATTGTTGATTATTGCAACTTTGACAAGAGTGCATTATTGATATAGCTGTGAAATATACATGGACATAGTGACCTTCACTTAACTTCAACAGTCTGCATTAATAAACCACTGGTCCATTTTATCTACGAAGAATATATGGACACAAACCATAAACGGGCGGGGTTAGAACCCACGATCAGCTGTAAAACTCCAGACCAGTGTGTTAGCCACTGGGCCAGCTAGCCACAATAAGATTCATCCATTTAAGTATAGTTATACACCATAGGTGGAGTTTTATGACTCTCTGATGGCGGGTTCTAATCCCGGTCATGGTATGGTTTGTTTGCAATCGTGTCATTACGATTTCATTAGTCGAGTAATAAACAGACACTTTGCAGTACAGTAAGTTTATGACTTACAAACACATTGGGACCTTCTGTATTATGCATATTATTATTATACACAGAAGACTCTGTACTGTGATATGTCAAACACAGTATTACCATCACTACTAGCTAACTTTGAGCCTCAGTATGGTATCAGAAGAGAATATCATGTTTAGATAAAGCCACCCATTTTCTGTAATAGCTACCCCTCCTAAATTAGATTTAGATTTTGCCACCTAAGTTTCCAGTTTATTGTGCACCCCATATCTATCCTGTGGATGGTAGTGGCTAGTTTGTGTACCTCATATCCATCCTGTGGATGGTAGTGGCTAGTTTATTGTGTACCTCATGTCCATCCTGTGGATGGTAGTGGCTAGTTTATTGTGTACCTCATGTCCATCCTGTGGATGGTAGTGGCTAGTTTACTGTGCACCTCATATCCATCCTGTGGATGATAGTGGCTAGTTTATTGTGTGCCTCATATCCATCCTGTGGATGGTAGTGGAAGAGCTTAAGAATACATAATAGGCCTAGGAACTAGGCCTCAAAAGGGTTAACAGAAGTTACATTTAGATTTATATCTACAGTTCAGTGATCTGTTACAAGCAAATTTAGGAAATTTGCTTAATATATCTGGTATCTTATTTTCATTAATAAGATATCCTGACATATCACATACATTATTATATTGTCCATCACTATATTCCTCAATAGGTGGACAATTAAGCACATACTGCAATGAGTTCTTAAGAAAAGTTGAATATTAGAGACAAGAGACAGGTAGCATCAATAACTTAACAAGAAAGAATAGAAATTCACAGTACCAAGACTGGAACAATACAGCCTCTCCTCACTTAGCGACGTATTCGTTTACCGATGACTCAGACTTATGATGGGATCTCTGACCAGTATGCATACCTAAATAATGTATATTAGAGTTGATTTCCTCTATTTTGTTTATTACAATATACAGTACACTACTGTATAAACATTTAAAAAATACCAAAAATATTATAAATGGTGCACTAGTGACATTAAAACAATATTAAAGACAGTTGACACAAACTATTATAGTATGCTCCTCACTTAGCGACAAATTTGTTTACTGACGTGGTCTTAGGAACAGAGCTCAGTCGTTCAGTGAGGAGAGGCTGTACACAAATACAATAAGTCCTTGACTACAAACACATTGAGAATCTTCAGTATTATACACAATAGTGATTTTTTTTTTTTTTTCAACAAGTCGGCCGTCTCCCACCGAGGCAGGGTGACCCAAAAAAGAAAGAAAATCCCCAAAAAGAAAATACTTTCATCATCATTCAACACTTTCACCACACTCGCACATTATCACTGTTTTTGCAGAGGTGCTCAGAATACAACAGTCTAGAAGCATACACTGACAATAGTGATATAATAATGATATTATACACAATACAGAAGATTCTCAATGTGTTTGAAAGCCGAGGACTTACTGTAATCCGCATGCAGGAGAGAGAAACCTGTGACGACATTTTGGTCCAGATTGGACCATTAACTAATCACACTAAGAAATGTGACAGTAAGGAGCCAGCATACATACTTGTCCACCAGTGATAGACAACACATCTTCTCAATAACACGAGGCTAATGACATTATTACGAACGTAAGAATGGAGGAACTCCATGGGGAAGTGGAACAGAATTCTTCCCCCGTAAGTCATGCGTGTTGTAAGAGGCGACTAAAATGCCGGGAGCAAGGGGCTAGTAACCCCTTTTCCTGTATACATTACTAAAGTTAAAAAGAAAAAACTTTCATTTTTCTTTTTAAGTACGTACTACTTATAATATTTTAATTTGCGATAGTTTAACTTACAATATTTCAACTTTACAATGGTTCAACTTACAACGCTTTGACTTCACGATGTTCAACTTACAATATTACACCTTCACGATGGTGCAATAGCAAAGTACTTTTGTACTGCATAGTAGTGTACATTTAATGATAGGATATACTTACATTCATTTAGTGACTTTTCGATACTGGTATTTAGCTACAGTAATTGTTTACTGACTGTAGTTATTTACTTACTTATCACATATTCATATTCGACTCACGATATTTCCAACATACGATGGATTCATCAGAATATGAGTTGAGGAGTGCCTGGCTGTACATTAACCATAAATCTAAGGTCTCGATTGATAATTTCAATATTTTACCAACCGAGGCTTGGTCACAGACTGTGCCAAAACCCTCTCCTGGTATACTCCAGGTAACAATAACTTATCTGCAAACATCTCCCTACTATAATTCTTGGATCAAGGGCAAACAGGCATACGTCACTAATATGGCGAATTAGGTTCCAGACTGCCACCACAAAACCAACATTGCCTTAAAGCGACTCAGATTGTGTAAATTAAGAAACTCCAGATTAATAGAGACATCGCAAACTAATGTTGCATTTCAACTGCTTGCAAATGTCGTGATGGCAAGCAGCCAATGCTCAATGTAAACAATTATCTAATCTTCTCCGTAAAACTGTTTGACTTGCAGTGGAATATTGGTTTCATTGAGAGGAGCATCAAGTAACATACAACACGGTATCAATCTCTATGGATGAAAGTGATTACAGTAAGTCCTTGATTTACATTATTATTATATCATTATTTTGTATAACATCATTATTATTAAGAAGGTCCCCCAGTGTGTTTTTAAGTTAAGGACTTACTGTATTGATTTACTGCTACGAAATTTCTGTCCTCTCTCTCTCTGACGCAAACATTCTACTGTTGGTTTTCAATTTTCAGATTACCAATACAGGTGCTCCTTGACTTACAATGGCTGAACTTATGATATTATAACTTTACCATAGTTTAACTATACAATATTTCAACCTTACAATGGTTCAACTTACAATATTTCAACTTTACAATGGAGCAGCAACAATTACTTTGCTGATGAAACTTAAGATAATTACCCAGCATGAAGGCAGCAAGTCCCTAACTTGTATTCATTTACTGACTTTTCAATACCGGTATTTATTTAGTTACAGTAATTTGTTTATTGACTTATTCAGTGACAGTAGTTCTTTATTGACTTATTTACTTAGCATATCATATTCATATTCGACTTATGATATTTTTGACTTACGATGGGTTCACTGGACGTAACCCCATTTTAAGTCGCGGAACACCTGTACTCTATAAAAGAGCGGAAGAGAAGGCATGCCTACACAGTTACAAGTGATCAAAATTGCGAAGGAAGATGGGCACCGAGATGCAGCAAGGCACTTTGGGCTCACCCCTATAAAGAAAACAGTATGTAACATCCAACACCCAAGGATCTTAGAATAAACCTCAGAGACCTATGGAGATCATAGAAATAGCAGGGCTTGATATAGAATTTAATAGATAAGAAGCTTTAATATGACCCAATAGTGGATAGGCCTATGGAGACCAGAGAAATAGCGGAGTTTAATATAGAATTTAATAGATAAGAAGTTTTAATATGACCCAAGAGTGGATAGGCCTATGGAGACCAAGGAAATAGTGGGGTTTAATATAGATTGGAATAGATAAGAAGCTTTAAAATAACCCAACAGTGGGGATGCCTATGGAGACCAAGTAAAAATTTTTTTCTTTCCAGAAAATGCCTGCCAAAAATAGGGTACGCCTTACATGCCGGAAACTACAGTAATCACGCCATTCTTTTACCTCAATAAAATATTCAATTTTATATATGTGGAGTCACATGATTGGGTTATGTTTAATATTTCCCCAATCATAGGACTAATACACAATGATGTGAGCTATAACTGTGTGAATAATCAAGTGTGTCTGGACAAGCAATAGGTGACTAAAGCATTTAAAACTGTTTAGCTTGTTTAATCAAGAGTGAGTGAGCAAGCAACTAGTGAATGTAGCAAATATATCAAGCAGCAACAATCCACACAAGCGCTACCACTCACTTTTCTAGTTTCTAGCGATCCGTCGGACACTGACTCCCGTCTTTGGGTTCGCCTCTTCAACTTGCCTACTTCCGTGGGCGAGGACGACTCCACCACCTGCCCCTCCAGTACCTGTGGGTACTGCTTCTTCAACAGGGTAAGACCTTCGATGAAATAAGGCCCATAGAGGTCACCAAGCTTACAAGAATGACTATAGTTTTTGCATAATGAGCAATACCAGGAGGTATCTTTAGAGAAGGCATCATAGTTGTTGTGTAGGGTGCTGTTGTAACCCACTTTGGCAGTCTTTTGTTTAGCTTCAATCTTGCAGTAGAACTGGATACTGGTTTTGCGCACGGTTTTCTCCTGTTCATCCTCGTCTCTGTGAGGAGCGTTGACAATTACTTCCCTACTCCTAGTTTTGTCCAATCGGATGAACGGACCTCGTCTCTCGTACGTTTCCCCTTTTCTTCTCCCATCCTCGTTCTTTTTTCTCAATTCCGAGTCGTCGTTTCTCGACTTGCTACAGCTTTTCACTTTCCCCTTAATGACTTTCCCTTTCTTGGCACTGGAAGTGTCAGTTTTCCCTTTCTTACCTCTGTCTTTCTTAAGTCCCTTTTGTTTAGCAGGTCCTTTACCATGCTTAAGAGTTGTTGGCACAAAGTCATTACAACCACCACTATCACTAGCCATACTAAGAAGGTTACCTAAACTACCACTTCCTCTACTCTCACAACCACTGGAATCACCATCGTCCTCTCTATAGTCGTTACCATCACTGTCTCCCCCCTCGTCACTTTCTGCCATGCTGTCGAAGTTGTCCAGGTCCTTGGGGACGTAGTCCTCATCTTCACTCTCCTCGTCCTCCATGTTGAGAAGCATCAGTAGGTCATTCATCTCGTTTTCGTCCATTTTCCTGGGAGGACGAGACGACCGCTTGGGACGTTTCTCTATATAACTCTCCTCCGTAGCTGCGGGAATATTGGAAGCAGTCTCTTCCAAAAATTTGGCAATATTCTCTACTGTTTCTGCATCCACGTCCACATCCGTGCCCTGAGGAACCTCCAGAGCATCTGGAGGAGGAGCTGCCAAAGCATCCGGAGGAGGAGCTGCCATACTGGACGACTCTAGGGTATTTAGGTTAATACTGGGTTCAGTAACAGCGCTTACTTCTAAACTGTTGAATGTACATAATACTTCAAGGTCATCGGACGCTTGCGTGGGCAAACTTGTGGGTTTTGATTTTCTTTCTATAGGTTCGGATAACACATCCGGGACTTTGGTCTGTACAATGGGGGTTTCCAAGCCTGCATTTCCAGACTCTGCTTTTGTATCCTCGATCGATACTATTGTATCCTGTATTTCCGATTTTGAAGTCTGTGTTTCACACTTTCCACTCGGAATATCGGATTTTGTATCTGATGCCTCATTATCTGCACCCTTCCCCTCATTATTCGTATTCTTCCCCTCTTTATCGGCACCTTTGGCATCACTGTCTGTACCTTTGGCCTCGTTATTTACAACTTGGTCTTCCGACGGTGTATTTTGGGTTTCAAATTTCAGGGTCGGAATTTCGGATTTCAGGGCCTGAATTTCACATTTCTCAGCCTGAATTTTGGATTTTTTCTCCCGTGTTTCAGATTTCTTGGCTTCGGTTTCAGATTTTTCTTCGTGGGATTCAGGTTTCTTGTCCTGGGTTTCAATTTCAATTTTCAAATCTTGAACTTCAGCCTGGTTTTCGTGGTTCTCAGCTTTCCTGTCATGGGCTTCAGAGCTACCATCTTGCACTTCAGAGCTGCTGTCTCGAACTTCAGGTATTCCATCTTGGCCTTCGAACTTTCCATTTTGTGCTTCGAACTTTTCCTCCTGGGCTCCGGACTTTCTGTCAAGTGCTTCCACTTTTCTCTCCTGGCTTTCAGACTTTCCATCATTGATTTCTGTCTTGACGTCATGGGATTCAGACTTGGCATCTTGCTTGGCACTCGTCCTCCTGGTTCTCAATCTCCGCCCTCGGGATTCCAACTCCTCTGTTTGTCCTATCACAGTTGTATTTTCGCCTATGGAATTCTGACAAGATAAATCAGGAGCATCGGGAATGTCATCTGCAGCTGTGAGGTTACTTTGTACAAGGTGATAGTCGGCACTTCGTTTTGTTCGGCTCTTGCGTTGGTTGCCGTCGTGTTTGGCGACGTCTCTGACTGGGGATGAAGGCTCACTTGTGCTCGATTCCTGGATAAGAGCTCGGTCCTTAAAATAGGAACTCTCACCTTCCACGGTTGTCCCGCTGCAGTGTGTGTTCTCCTGGTGTGCATCTTCAGGTACTGTGTCATAGTGTTCTGTTGTGTGTGGAAGCACTGTGGGTTCTTGACTAACTTCATCCTTCATTTGGGTGCATTTAACCTTAGGAGACTTGCCTGGTTTCTTTTTCTTGCCTTTGCCTCTCCCCTTTGCTCTGTTTTTACTTCCCGCTGGTTTTGTAGGTGGGCATCTTATTTCCGCTGCTCCTGAATCCAACACACACTCTAACACTATGTCTGGAGTTTTGGTAATTTTATTCACACAATCTACCTTTAAGCTTATATCACACTTGCTTGGAGACTCTTCAGGATGGGCAAGACGGTCCAGTGGCGGTTTTTTCCCATTTTCTTGCATGAGAAGTGTCTGTGTTTCGTCGGTGTTTGTCTGCTGGTCGGGAAGGAGTTGGTCACCGCTTCTCCGGCCTCTCTTTCTAATTCTGCTGCTCGGGGAACCTAACCCATTGACTGGTTGTGACAAGGTAGCTGCCAAGGCTAAAGCTTTCTCGTCCTTGTCGTCTCTGTTTTGTGCACCATCCAAGATGAGCCCTGAGAACGACGTGTTGTTTTTTAAGTTGCCCGATGGTGATGACCTAAGATTAGAGTCCGTGGACTCATTACCCTTGGCAGTGAGAAGTTCCTGGTTGTCTCTTGTCTTGTTCCTCCTGCTGCTTCTTCTGGGAGACACCACATGTGCATCTGTTTTGGCTGCATTATCTACAGGTGGTGCATCACCACTTTGAGAATCTTGTGTAAGAATGTCTACAGACAGTGGGATTATTTTACCTATGTCTACACTGCTTTCTTGAAGAAGGCTGACCGTTGTACTTTCTGATGATGACATCTCGGCCAGAGTTTTTGATAAATCTTTGACCGGCGGGGAGATACCTCGAAGCCATTCCTTATTTCTTTCCGACATGGGGCTACGAGAACTAGAAAAGAACTTTGGTGACCTGGGAGACTTGGCATGGGGTTCTCTAGGCCTGGGGCTGATGCTTGATTTTGCTATCTCCAGTGGAGACCTAGCATTTTTTTTAAGACCACTTCCTTTCTTCCGCCCGCGTTTCCCCTTCTTGCCGCGGCCGACGCCGTCGCTGTCAGTGTCATTGAAGTCATAAACATCGGGGCTGCAGGAAGATGGGGTAATGGGTGGTGGTCCAGGAACTCTTAAATCTGGCTCAGTAATAAGTGTTGTGTCCACATGCAGTGGTTCAGTAACACTTGCAAAGTCTTGAGAGAGGGGCACTAACTGCCTCCCTCTGCCTCTGCTGACTCCACGGAGGACGCCACGGCCACGCCTCCCTACCATGGGAGAGTTAGATGATGACTTACTCTGCGAGTCATCTGTGGTAAGTATCGGAGGGGTGATGGGAGGTTCAATGGGAGTCTGCTGCTCTGGGCTAGGATTACTCTCTCCGTCAACCTTATCTCTAATATCTTTGGACCTGCGACCTTTCTTTTTGAGAGGGGTCGCATCAGGCGAGGAATCCTCGTTCATTTCCAACACTGGATCCGTGCCATCTTCCACATAAGACACTGCTCTTTTCTGTCTGGTTCTCCTTTTAGTATCACCGCACTCTTCCAGCGGCCCATCGCACTGATATTCCATCTCCGTCACTGACTCACTTTCCGATTTTCTTTTCCTGTTGTTTTTCCTTACGTTATCAAATATTTCATTATCACCATTGAAATATTCTTGATCGTTCTTGCCTAGAGTTTTATGTACACTGTTATCAACCTCACAATTTTCTGCGCTCACGTTTAACAAAAGATTGTTACTACTGCTACCACTAACACTCTTTACTTCGTCCTCACTGGCTGCCCTAACACCATTTATAGGGTTGCTATCTATGCTAGCACTTAAAGTGTGTGTGGCACTTTCCTCCGCAGACAGGGAAACACCTATACTCGCTATATTTTCCACTCCATCACTCCGTCCTACCTCACTAATTGTACTGGTACCCGACGCATCACCAACACTCGCCGTATCATTTTCTAAATACCTCGGAGAACATCTACGCTTTTTAACGGGCGCTGTGGTACCCTCTACAGGAGCATTATTAGTCCTTATACTATTTATATCAACTTCTTGCTGGGTTATTTGCAACTGGGTAAGGGATCTTTGGGGTTCTTGTATGGGATAGGTTTCAGGTTCCTTAGGGTGGGGTTCAAGGAGATCCGTTCGGACTTGTAACTGTTGTAGCGGCTGAGGGGGCACATCCACCTTTCCTGATGGTGGAGTATGGGTCATCTGTAGTAACTGATTAGCGTTCAGGTGAGCAGCTAAGAACGGATGCGCAAGGGCATGACTCATGGCTTGACTCATACCCTGATTTGAAAATGCCTCCCTGGGTATTGGTAGCCGTAGGGCAGGGTCAGCCGGTGAATTACTCCGGAGTGAATCATGCGGTGAATCCCTGCGTTCCACGGTGTTTCTCGTTAGCAAGACGTCAAATCCCTGAGAATCGTCCGAGCTGGAATCTCCACCTCCGCCTGCTGCTCCTTCAGGCTGCGCCGTAATGGGATATATGACGCTCTGTCGCCGGGGTTGCTCCTGTTTCCGCCGGTGTCTGGTCTTCTGGTCACCCTCGCTCTCGCTTCCACTCTGCACTCGGCGGCTGTCGCTGCTTCCATCGATGCAGCCGTCAACACTGGCGACCTCATTAGCCTCTTTCAGTTTTGCTGGATTGCACAGCACCTCCTGGTTGATGCCAGGCGGTAGATGGTGCGATCGCGTTCTATCAGGAGACGGTTGAGGGTCATCATGTCGTGTGTCTGCGGGGACGGTAGTGCTATGTTTCCTGTCTTGCGGCGACACCTGCTGAATACGGGGAGCGCCATGTAGCGCCAGGCCCTCTCCATTAAGTCCAGCCGTAGCTGCTGTTACTAGTGCTGCTGCTGCTTGCTGTTGCTGTTGTAGTTGCAGTTGTTGGTGCTGCTGTTGTTGCTGGAGCTGCTGCTGCTGTTGATGTTGATGTTGTTGTTGTTGTTGTTGTTGTTGTTGTTGTTGTTGTTGTTGTTGTTGTTGTTGTTGTTGTTGATGTTGTTGCTGATGTTGTTGTTGTTGATGTTGTTGCTGATGTTGGTGTTGCTGTTGTTGTAGCTGTTGCTGATGTTGCTGCTGTTGTTGATGTTGTTGATGCCGTCTTTGTTGCTGTTGCTGTTGTTGCTGTTGCTGTTGGTGATGCGTAGTGAGTGGTGCAGCAGCATGTAAGGCAGCCGGGTTAATTGAAGACGGCGTGGGTAGCGCCCCCAGGGCCGCAGCAGCCGCTGCGTACTGTCGGGCAGCCAATAGGCTGCGGTACACCGTGGCTGCATCACCGCCGCTGGCCACTAGCTGCTGCAGAGATGCCAGCGCCGAGCCTACACCAGGCGCCATCCCCGGCGGTAGAGGCGGTGTGGCCTTGGTCTCCCCCTTGCTGGGCACGCGCCGTCCCTCACCCCGGCTGTCGGTCCGGGGCTCAGCACGGCCGTCCACTTGACCTTCGCCATATCCGCTGTACCCATACAGCCGCATGTCGCTCCCGCCACCTGTAATAATTATCATATTAAAAATATATATAAAATCAATAGACAGTGAATAAATATTGGATGAATGCTGAATAAAAATTGAACATCGAAAAAATTACAGATCAATACAGAACATAAATTCACAAAACCATGACTGGAACAATACACAAATAACCCGCACATAGGACAGAGAAATGTATGGCAATGTTTTGATCCAACTTGGTCCATTAGTCTATTATTTTTCATCATTTGTCTATACTGATAATAATAATAATAATAATAATAATAATAATAATAATAATAATAATAATAATATAATAATAATAATGATAATATTGATGATAATACACGTAATAAAATTGATAATACAGTGGTACCTCGAGTTTCGAACATCTTTCATTCCAGAATGCTGTTCAAAAACAAATACCAAACGACTTTGTTCCCACGAGGAATAATGTAAATTACATTAGTCCATTTCAGACCCCCAAAAATACACTTACAAACGCACTTACACAAATACATACACTTACGTAACTGTTCGAGTTGGGAGCAGTTCGAAACTTGGGGTACCACTGTGTTATTAATAATAATAATACTTATATAAATAAATGGCATAAGTATCCAAGGCTAGACTGGACACTGCCATTTATTTGTGAATGGTCTCACAATACTTTCTGCCTTTTAACCCTTAAATGGTCCAAACGTATATACAGTGGACCCCCGGTTAACGAACTTTTTTCATTCCAGTAGTATGTTCAGGTGCCAGTACTCACCGAATTTGTTCCCATAAGGAATATTGTGAAGTAGATTAGTCCATTTCAGACCCCCAAACATACACGTACAAACGCACTTACATAAAAACACTTACATAATTGGTCGCATTGGGAGCTGATCGTTATGCGGGGGTCCACTGTATACGTTTTTTCAACATTTGAAAATATGTAAAAAAATGTACATCATCTTTTGTTTTTTTTACATTTGAAAATGTGTAAAAAAAACTTATCTACATTTTTTTTGTAATATTTGAAAATATGTAAAAAAAACATAGATCTACTTTTGGAGCACTACCAATATGAACGTCGATCTATTTGGACCGTTTAAGGGTTAAAGAAGATTTGGTTACAGTTTACGGTACTAAAGGAGCTTTCATTTTAAAGCCTCTTACAATACCTTTTATCCTTTAAAAGAACATTTCAATACAGTTAAGAACATTTATTAAAGGAGCTTTTATTTCTAAAGCCTTTTACTATACCTTTCATCCTTTAGCCCATAAACGGTCCAAGCAGATCTACGTTCACATGTGTAGCGCTACAAAAGTAGATCTACATTTTTTTTACATATTTTCAAATATATATAAAAAAAAAAGATCTACGTTTTTTTTACACATTTTCAAATGTAAAAAAACAAAAAGAAGATCTACTTTTTTTACATACTTTCAAATGTTGAAAAAACGTATACAGTGGAACCTCAAAAATCGAACTGCTCCCAACACGACCAATTATGTAAGTGTATTTTTGTAAGTGCTTTTATAAGTACAGTGGACCCCCGCTTAACGATCACCTCCAAATGCGACCAATTATGTAAGTGTATTTATGTAAGTGCGTTTGTACGTGTATGTTTGGGGGTCTGAAATGGACTAATCTACTTCACAATATTCCTTATGGGAATAAATTCGGTCAGTACTGGCACCTGAACATACTTATGGAGTGAAAAAATATCGTTAACCGGGGGTCCACTGTATATTTTTGAGGGTCTGAAATGGACTAATCTAATTTACATTATTCCTGATGGGAATAAATTCATTCGGTAAAGGCACTCGAACAGCCTTCTGGACCGAAGAAAGTTCGATATTTGAGGTTCCACTGTAAATACGTTTGGACCATTTACGGGTTAACCCTCTAAGGGACCCGTCCCATAGTTTTACGGCTCTGAAGCCAGAGTCCAAGCCACTGTACTACACCATGAGCTCAGTTCACTCAGATAAGCTGCGAGTGGTAAGTTTGGGACAAGATATGGGAGAGTGGGTACATGGTACGTGTGCACCATATAAAACAAATCCTGCAACACACAGTGCATGAGAAAAAACTGCGATAGTGTTTTTGGATTAAAACCGAGTTTGCAGTGTATTTTCGTATGGTTTTTATGGTTGTATTCACAGCTTCTTGGTCTCATTTGATAGAATGGAAGATATATTACAGAAATAGAGATAATTTTGATTGGTTATAGTACTCAAAATAACTTGAAATTGAGCTCAAAGTAGTGGAAACGCTCAATTTTTGCCGACGTTCAAGAGTAAACAAATCACATCACGCGTCCAATACATGTCAGCTGGTGGGTCTAATGTGCGTTCACGAATGCATTGATATTATTTATACAATTATTACAATAATTGCAAAGCAGTAAATATTCTATTTTTTGGTGTGAATAAAAATTCTTTATGCAAATAAAAAATCAAAACGGAATTCATATGCAAATCCTGAAAATGGAACTAATAAACAGAGGAAATGTTATTTTAGTGCCAGGAATGTCTGCATTGTTTATTCTGGACCCTATTTTGAAATTGGAATATTTTGACTGTGTGAAATTGGCCAAATTATCAATATCTGACCACTTTATTGGGTAGTTGAAATAGTTGATCGGGCAATTTCTTGTGCTCAATAGATAAAATGGAACACATATTAGCAAAATAGCTAAGAATTTGGTCTAATGGAATAATATAATTGGCCGAAAGTAAGACTCAAAGTGGGCAAAATCACCAATGTGTAAATATTGACAGCACAGCAAAATTCACAAAAGTGTAATTTTGTAAATTTTTGACGAAATTTCATACTTTTTGTTTTATTACCTTCAGAAAAAAATTCTCTACCATTTCACAAGAAAAAATAAACATTTTTTTTTAAATTCTTGAAACCTGCGGAGAATTTTCAGATTAGTGGTCTGGACTCTCAAATGGTTAAAAGAATATTTGTATACATTTTAGGACATTTATTAAAAGAGTTTTTATTTCTAAAGCCTTACAAAATATCTTTTAAAAACACTTAGGTACAGTTCAGGGCATTAATGGAACTATTTGGACACGACTGATTCATGAAGGACTGTCGATGTCCTTCAAAGGTGCAATGCCGACTTTATATACATCCTGACCTTAACCCTTAAACTGTAGTGCTCCAAAAGTGGATCTATATTTTTTTACATATTTTCAAATACAGTGGAACCTCAAATATCGAACTTTCTTCGGTCCAGAAGGCTGTTCGAGTGCCTTTACTGAATGAATTTATTCCCATCAGGAATAATGTAAATTAGATTAGTCCATTTCAGACCCTCAAAAATACACTTATAAAAGCACTTACAAAAATACACTTACATAATTGGTTGTGTTGGGAGCAGTTCAATTTTTGAGGTTCCACTGTATAACAAAAAGAAAGGTAGATCAAAGTTTTTTTACACGTTTTCAAATGTGAAAAAAAAAAAAAAGGTTACGTTTCTTTACATACTATCAAATGTTGAAAAAACGTAGATCTACGTTTGGACAGTTTAACCCTTTGAGGGTTTCGGGCATATTAGTACGGCTTACGACCCAGGGTTTTTGACGTACTAGTACGCCTAAATTCTGGCGCCCTCAAATCTAGTGGGAGAAAGCTGGTAGGCCTTCATATGAAAGAATGGGTCTATGTGGTCAGTGCGCACAGTATAAAAAAAATCCTGCAGCACACAGTGCATAATGAGAAAAAAAAAACTTTGACCGTTTTTTTGGAATAAAACAGCGACTTTGCACTGTATTTTCGTATGGTATTTATTGTTGTATTCTAGTTTTCTTGGTCTCATTTTATAGAATGGAAGACATATTACAGAAATTGAGATGATTTTGACTGGTTTTACAATGAAAAGTACCTTGAAATTGAGCTCAAAGTAGCACAAATGTTCGATTTTTACTAAATTTCAAAAGTAAACAAATCGTGCCAATGGTCCAATACACGTCAACTGGTGAGTCTAATATTCTTTCACAAGTGCGCCAATAATATTTATACCATTTTTTACACTAATGCAGTAGTCTGCATAACAGTAAATCTTATATTTTTTGTGAGAATAAAAATTCAAAGTGGAAAGCAAAAGAATATAAGAGGGGCCTTGAGACATGACTAATGACCAGAGAAAATGTCATTTTAGTGCCAGGAATGTCTTTCTTGTTTATTCTGGACCCTATTTGGAAATTGGCATCTTTTGAAATTTGTATGAAATTGGCAAAATTGCTAAATTCTGACCACTGTACTGGATAGTTGAATTTCATAAATGGGTGGTTTCTTGCACCCATTCGATAGAAAAAATGGAGTTCTAGCGAAATATTCATGTTTTTTGTCAACTAGTACAGTGGAATTGGCCGAAAATGAGGCTCAAAGTGGGCAAAATCGCCGATGCGTAAATATCCCCGAGACCGCTAACTTCGCGAGAGCATAATTCCGTAAGTTTTCCATCAAATTTCAAACTTTTGTTGTCCTTATGATCGGGAAAAGATTCTCTATCTTTTCATAAGAGAAAATTATTATTATTTTTTTTAAATTTGGCCGACCCTGAGAACGAGTTTCGGAGAGGGCCTGTCGACCCTCAAAGGGTTAAGGGTTAAACTGTCCAATTGTAGATCTACATTCATGTGCGTAGGATTCCGAACGTAGATCTACATTGTATTTTACAACTCAGGCACAATAGGCCTGAGTTGCCTAGACATAAGAGTATGGGTCTGTGCACTCAGTGTGCGCAGTATGACAAAATTCGGAGACGCCGAGAAAAATGCGCTCAGCATTTTAAACAAACAAAAAAAAAAAATTTTTCCCAAAATATTCAGAAAGCTACGCAAGTGAACGTAAATCTACGTTTGGACAGTTTAAGGGTTAAGGTAACTTTATTTTTCAGCATCATCAGTGTGAGAATACCATGTAAAGGTGCTCCTTGCTTTACCATGGTTTGTTATGTGATATTTTGACTTTACAATGGTTCAACCTATGATATTTCCACTTTACAATGGTTCAAGTTACAATATTTCAACTTTACAATGGTTCACATACAATATTTCAACTACAATGGTTCAATTTACAATATTTCAACTTTACAATGGTGCGGCAATAATTACTTTGGAGATGAAACTTAAGATAATTACCCAACATGAAGACAGTAAGTCCCTAACTTGTATTCATTTACTGACTTTTCAATACCGGTATTTACTTACAGTAATTATTTGTTTGCTGACTTATTGATTTAGCATATTGCATTTGATTTACAATATTTACAACTTACAATATTTACAATTTACGATATTTACAACTTACAATTTTTTAAGTTACGATGAGTCCATTGGAACATAACCCCTTATGGTACTCTACATAGGGGTGCTTTTCAATACAGTGAGCCCACCATTTATACCCTTATGGTACTTTAAGTGCGACTAACCTTGCCAGGCAGTGCTGAACCCAGGATAATTGTTGTACTGTAGCGACCTGCTCAGCTCCCCCCAGAGCGCGGCGTTGCCGGCGGCCGGTGTTCCTCCATGACTAGCACCGCCGCCACCACCGCTGTTACCCCCGGGGGCGGCCACCCCGGCCCCGCCATCCACCCGCTCACGCCCACCTCGCTCCGCGCCCCCGCCATCGTTATTAAACGCTGAAACGTAAAAATTTTTACTAATACTCGCTTAACAATTACTTAGCTTTATCTAAACACAGTAAACATCATAATATCTACAGTAAACATTGTAATATCTATATACAGTAAACATTGTCTAGATCTAATATTACAATAAACATTGTCTGTAATATCTACAGTAAACACTTGTCTTTAACCCTTAAATGGTCCAAACGTATATATACGTTTTTTCAACATCTGAAAGTATGTAAAAAGTGTAGATCTTTTTTGTTTTACATGTGAAAACGTGTAAAAAAACTTTTATCTACATTTTTTTTTGTTATATTTGAAAATATGTAAAAAAAAAAAGTAGATCAACTTTTGTAGCTACGAATTTGAACGTCAATCTGTTTGGACTGTTTAAGGGTTAGAGTACATGGTAATAAATTGAGAGTACACAGTACTAAATAGAGTACACAGTACTGAACACAAAGAACATGGTACTAGAGTACACAGTGCTAAACAGAGTACATGGTACTGAACATGGTATTGGTACATGGTATTGAACAGAGTACACAGTGCCAAACAATACATGGTACTAAACACAGACTACAGAGTACTTACTTGCAAACTGGTTCAGCGCTGTAGCATATTGCGCAAAGTTCCTCTGTCTGTCTGCCATTTTGTGTCCTGAAAGAACGAGGACGTCATTATTGCCTAAAATAACCAACGAATGGACGACTGTTTATAAATACAGCGACAAAATACGACAAAACTGATTGGTCAGTCCGATGCATGCATGCTGCTGGCCTTTGTAACTGAATGATATTAAAAGTAAGTTAGGCTATCCATATGTTGTGGTAAAGATTGTTATTATTATTACTATTATTATTGTTATTGTTATTACAGGCAGGCCCCATTTTATGGTGATTTGCTTTACAGTTTCACTTTACAGCACTCTGCACTACAGTGCTTCACTTTACAGCACTGTATTCATCAGACGCTTATATATAAGAACACCAGTGCAACTGACACAACATTTTAGCCATGGTAGTTGCTGTTCAATGGTGGGTTGTAGTACATCACTGCTATCATCACCTTTGAACCCCTAGTTTGATGAGTTCCTGTAGACAGTAAGCCTACTGCAAATTTTCAGTCCCCCCTTGGAGCAAGTTGTGGGTCTAGCTCCCCTGAGTTCCCACCAGAGTGCAGGTCCTCATCTCAGCCATAACTGGCTATGCCCTGGCCTCACTCGGCAACCGGTTGCCTACCTGGTAACAGCTCCTCTCCATGGACTGGCTCTGGCACATCTCATACTGCCCACTGTGAACCCCCAGTATGCCAATTAAGAAGCTAGTCAAGAGCTGTATATCTCGCCTACCTCTACGCTACCTGGCAAGTTACTTGACCAATCCCAAAGACAGTTAAATTGTTACTATACCTCAAGAGGGTTTAGGGGCTCAACACCCCCCCCCAGTCAATGACCAGGCTATGTAGTCATCTGTTTCCCCTCTGCTATGGTCACAGATAGGGTCATAGGGGCATTGATTTCTGAAACCCTCTCCACGTATACTCTCTCAAAACTTTCACTCTCCAGGCACTTAATCAAGTCGTTACCAGCTCAACAAAGTTCCTCCAGGCCGAAACATGACCACAATATACTGACGCAGTAGTTGCAATTGTTGTCGGAAATTCTACCAACTCGAGTACAACCTAAACAAGAATTGCCATGTTGGGGTTGCAACATGTCACCTATGGTATACAGGCTGCCAGAAATTTTTGCCGCACCACTAGGCTTCCATATCTTAAGCCTAGGTTTTAAATATGATGATACTAAAAGGACCCTAATGGAAATATGTCGCTCTGGGCTTTTTTTGGATATACTCTATGATATTATAAGGACCCCAACGGAAACAAGTCACTGTGGCCTTTTTGGGGGGTTATCCTAAGTAATTTACATGCATTACAACTAATACATCCATTAACGAGTGATTTAAAGCAAATAATACAGCGACTGACATCCAAAATGTTGACAGCCGAGTGGACTAAGGTGTCACAGAATTCTGATGATCTTCCCAGGAGGCATGCCAAAATATCGGGGGTTCGATCCCAAGCCAGTTGCAGTACTGTTACACATTACTATGTAAGATAATCATACACATGTGTACCTGTGTCTAAATATATACTTCACGTTGATTTCATTTAGGCACAGGTATATATGTAAGTATGATAATCATACATAGTAACATACATACTATAACATACATAATTCAGATATACATGCAAGGAAAGAAACTATGTCTATAAAGGAAGGAATTTGTGTACCAAGTACAGTAGCTACTGTATAATACAACACTCAAAATACATTATGTACAAATGGCTTATCAATGCTGTATTGCACATAAATTGTAAGACAGATTTATGTAAGATAGAGTTGTGTAAGCTAGATTTGTGCAATATTTGTGTAAGATTGATCTGTGCAACATTTGTATAAGATAGATTTGTGTAACATTTGTATAAGATAGATTTGTGTAACATTTGTGTAAGACAGATTTGTGTAAGACAGAGTTGTGTAAGCTACATTTGGGTAAGACAGATTTGTGTAAGCTAGATCTGGGTAAGACAGATTTGTGTAACATCTATGTAAGATAGATTTGTATAAGATTTGTGTAAGACAGATCTGTGTAACATCTGTATAAGACAGATCTGTGTGAATTACAAGAAAATTTGTGTGAATTATAAAACAATTTGTGTGAATTATAAGACAGATTTGTGTGAATTATAAGACAGATTTGTGTGAATTATAAGACAGATTTGTGTGAATTATAAGACAGATTTGTGTGAATTATAAGACAGATTTGTGTGAATTATAAGACAGATTTGTTATCAGTGCTATCTTACCCCTGCCACCCTCAGGAACAGTACAACCCCTGAGGGCTTAGCGCTTCCCAACTACCAAAAATAATTTCTACTCGTTGAAAATTTACAGGAATTTTCTTAAAAAATGACACTAAAAAATAAAAATTTATTTTTGATATATTGATTTTAACCAAAAATTTTAATTTTAATGGAAAAAATAAAAACTGTGAATTTTAATGGAAAAATACTATTATTATTATTATAATTATATATATTATTATTATCAATTATTATTTATAATTATTATTGCAATCAAAAGCTCTAAACCCACAAGGGTTACAAGTATTTAATTCCCCTAACTCATTTTCTTACTCAGGATAATTCCTAATTCTAAATAATCTAATTAATTCCCCTAACTCATTATACACTCATATAATTCTTTCAAAAAAACCATACCCCCGGCCGGGATTGAACCCGCGGTCATAGAGGGGTATGGTTTATTTGCAATCGTGTCATTACGATTTCTTAAGTCATAATTCTTTCAGATATCAATCACATGTAATTCTTAACAAGTTAGTTTAATTTCGATCTTCTGAGCGAGCAAAAAAATACATTAACCTTACTATGGGGGTGCTAGGTTACGATTCAGTATTATCTAATATAACTTTTGTTATGGGGGGGAGGGAATACTGACTTTATAAGGCTCCACTATATACAGTCAGTTCTGTTATAATACAGAGCCTTCTGTAATAATACAGAGCCTCAGATTATAATACAGAGCCTTGTATAATAATACAGAGCCTCGGATAATAATACAGAGACTTGTGTAATAATACAGAGCCTCGGATAATAATACAGAGCCTTGTGTAATAATACAGAGCCTCGGATAATAATACAGAGCCTTGTGTAATAATACAGAGCCTCGGATAATACAGAGCCTCAGATAATAATACAGAGCCTCATATAATACAGAGCCTCATATAATAATACAGAGCCTTGTGTAATAATACAGAGCCTTGTGTAATAATACAGAGCCTCGTATAATGCAGATCCTTGTATAATACAGAGCCTCGTATATTACAGAGCCTCGTATATTACAGAGCCTCGTATAATACAGAGCCTCGTATAATACAGAGCCTCGTATAATAATACAGAGCCTCGTATAATGCAGATCCTCATATAATACAGAGCCTCGTATAATACAGAGCCTCATATAATACAGAGCCTCGTATAATAATACAGAGCCTTGTATAATAATACAGAGCCTTGTATAATAATACAGAGCCTTGTATAATAATACAGAGCATCATGTAATAATACAGAGCCTTTGTGTAATAATACATAGCTTTGTATAATAATATAGAGCCTCGTGTAATAATAGAGCCTTGTGTAATAATACAGAGATTTGTATAATAATAGAGCCTCGTATAATAATACAGAGCCTTGTATAATAATACAGAGTCTTGTATAAAAATACAGAGCCTTGTGTAATAATACAGAGCATCATGTAATAATACAGAGCATCATGTAATAATACAGAGCCTCGTGTAATAATACAGAGCCTTGTGTAATAATACAGAGCCTCGTGTAATAATACAGAGCATCATGTAATAATACAGAGCCTTGTGTAATAATACAGAGCCTTGTGTAATAATACAGAGCCTCGTGTAATAATACAGAGCCTCATACAAGAATACAGAGCCTCTGTGTAATAATACAGAGCCTTGTATAATATAGAGCCTTGTGTAATAATACAGAGCCTTGTATAATATAGAGCCTTGTGTAATAATACAGAGCCTTGTGTAATAATACAGAGCCTCGTATAATAATACAGAGCCTCGTGTAATAATACAGAGCCTTGTATAATATAGAGCCTTGTGTAATAATACAGAGATTTGTATAATAATAGAGCTTCGTATAATAATACAGAGCCTTGTGTAATAATACAGAGCCTTGTATAATAATACAGTCTCATATAACAATACAGAGCCTTGTGTAATAATACAGAGCCTCATGTAATAATACAGAGCCTTCTATAAAAATACAGAGCCTTGTGTAATGATAAAGAGCCTTGTATAATAATACAGAGCCTTGTGCAATAATACAGAGCCTTGTGTAATAATACAGAGCCTTGTGTAATAATACAGAGCCTTGTGTAATAATAAAGAGCCTTGTATAATAATAGAGCCTTGTATAATAATACAGAGCCTTGTATAATAATGCAGAGCCTTGTCTAATACTACAGAGCCTCATGTAATAATACAGAGCCTCGTATAATACAGAGCCTCATATAATAATACAGAGCCTTGCATAATAATACAGAGCCTTGTGTAATAATAAAGAGCCTTGTATAATAATAGAGCCTTGTATAATACAGAGCCTTGTATAATAATACAGAGCCTTGTATAATAATACAGAGCCTTGTATAATAATACAGAGCCTTGTATAATAATACAGAGCCTTGTGTAAAAATAAAGAGCCTTGTATAATAATAGAGCCTTGTATAATAATGCAGAGCCTTGTCTAATAATACAGAGCCTCATGTAATAATACAGAGCCTCGTATAATACAGAGCCTCATATAATAACACAGAGCCTTGCATAATAATACAGAGCCTTGTATAATAATACAGAGCCTTGTGTAATAATACAGAGCCTTGTATAATAATATAGAGCCTCGTGTAATAATACAGAGCCTTGTATAAAAATACAGAGCCTTGAAAAATAATGCAGAGCCTTGTATAATAATACAGAGCTTCATACAACTGTTATACAAACACTATCGTTAGGACGACATCGAGGGTCGCTGTGGCGGAGACTAGTCGCTGGTATGGGGTCGCTGTATCGTCCTGGCAGCTTTGCGGCAGTGCCAGCTGCTGCAGCGGCTGGTCATTCCCTCCAGCACCAACATCGACGACGATGATAATCCTATGTTGCCAATGAACGGCGAAAGCTCCACGACTTGGTAGTTCAGTCGCCTTAAATGCCCTTTCTGGCAGTGAAATAACCACGGTGTTAACCAGACTGGCTACAGTCACTGTATCACTGTTGTAACATCACTACAGTCACTGTATCACTGTTGTAACATCACTACAGTCACTGTATCACTGTTGAGATTGCTACACTGTAAAGTCATTATATTACTGTTGTAACTTTGCTACAGTCACTGTATCACTGTTGCAACACCACTTGTCATTGTATCGCTCTTGTGATATTGCTACAGTCACTGTATCACTGTTGTAACATCACTACACTGTAAACAGCCACTGTATCACTTAAAAATTACCACACTGTAAACAGTCACTGTATCACCGTTGTAACATCACTACGCTGTAAACAGTCACTATATCACCATTAAAACATTACTACACTGTAAAGTTATTATATTAATGTTGTAACATCACAACAGTCACTATATCACTGTTGCAACATCACAAGTCACAATATCACTGTTGTAAAAACAAGTCACTATCATTGTTGTAAGATACAAGTCACAATATCACTGTTGTAACAACAGTCACAATAACACTGTTGTAACACCCAAGTCACAATACCACTGTTGTAACATCACAACAGTCACTATATCACTGTTGTAATATCACAACAGTCACTATATCACTGTTGCAACATCACAAGTCACAATATCACTGTTGTAACAACAGTCACAATAACACTGTTGTAACACCCAAGTCACAATACCACTGTTGTAACATCACAACAGTCACAATATCACTGTTGTAACATCACAACATCATTGCTGTAACAACACAAGTCACTATCCAGCAGAACCTCTGTATACGAGTCCACTTTAATTCGTAAAATCCAGTATTTGGAAAAAAAATTGAGAAAAATAAGAAACGATGTTTGCAACCATAAATACATTTGGAACGTCGCTTTTCGAGCTCTTATGATTCAGTTGTTATCCGTTGTATAACTTTATATTAGTCTTATTATTGAAAATAAGTTAAAGTTTATTCAGGTACATGTACACATAAATAGTCACATAAATTATCATACATAACATCAGAAGTGTTTATTATTCTCCAGGATAACACAAGGAAGTCAAAGTATTTCCACTGTGGTCCTGGACTTAGTTCCACTGTGGTCCTGGACTTATTTCCATTGGGGTCCTTGACTTATTTCCATTGGGGTCCTTGACTTATTTCCATTGGGGTCCTTGACTTAGTTCCACTGAGGTCCTGGACTTATTTCCACTGTGGTCCTGGACTTATTTCCATTGGGGTCCTTGACTTATTTCCATTGGGGTCCTTGACTTATTTCCATTGGGGTCCTTGACTTATTTCCATTGGGGTCCTTGACTTATTTCCAGTGGTCCTTGACTTATTTCCACTGTGGTCCTTGACTTATTTCCACTGTGGTCCTTGACTTATTTCCACTGTGGTCCTTGACTTATTTCCACTGTGGTCCTTGACTTATTTCCACTGTGGTCCTTGACTTATTTCCACTGTGGTCCTTGACTTATTTCCATTGGGGTAATTGACTTATTTCCACTGTGGTCCTTGACTTATTTCCATTGGGGCCCTTCACTTATTTCCATTGGTTTCCTTGACTTATTTCCATTATGGTCCTTCACTTATTTTCATTGTGGTCCTTGACTTATTTCCATTGGTTTCCTTTACTTATTACCACTGGGGTCCTTGATTTATTTCCAGTGGGTCCCGAATAAGAATAGTGAAGAAAAATCTAAAGTGAAAGCTTTAAGAGCCATGGAACCAAAATAAGGAACTTATTTATTTATTTATTTTTAATTTGGAACTTATTTCAAAAAGGAAATGGAATAGTACTCCTGTTGACCTAGCCAGGAAATATGGCATGTCAAAATCTATCATATTTTCCACTAAAAAAAATAAAGGAGCAATTAAAAGGGTAATGTGGCAACGGGAGATAAAATGTAGTATATAACTTATTGCTTGTACAGTAATTCCCTGTACCCGCGGGGGATACCTTCCAAGAACTACCATGGATATCTGAACCCAGGATAATTGTGAACACTAACGTACGAGTTTGAACCCTGGATAATTGTGTACACTAATGTACAAGTTTGAACCCTGGATAATTGTGAACACTAACGTACAAGTTTGAACCCTGGATAATTGTGAACACTAACATACAAGTTTGAACCCTGGATAATTGTGAACACTAACATACAAGTTTGAACCCTGGATAATTGTGAACACTAACGTACAAGTTTGAACCCTGGATAATTGTGAACACTAATGTACAAGTTTGAACCCTGGATAATTGTGAACACTAACGTACAAGTTTGAACCCTGGATAATTGTGAACACTAACATACAAGTTTGAACCCTGGATAACTGTGAACACTAATGTACAAGTCTGAACCCTGGATAATAGTAAACACTAACGTACAATCTATTTTTCATTTACATACCTGTCTATTATAAAGTTTGACAAATTATGCAAAATGAGTCAAGAATTATCACTTTCTAACTGATGGGGAGACTTTAAGGGCTTCTTGTAGGCTCTGAATAATTGCCACCATCACTACTATTGCACTGTGTGGTCATTATTAAGCAAAATTAAGGTTTATTTTCGGGCCACAGGTCTGTGAAAAGTATTATTATTAATTATTATTATTATTATTATTATAATCGAAAAAGAAGCGCTAGACCCACAAGGGTAATAGAGGGCTGCAGAAGAGTAATTTCCGGGGTCTGGAACGAATTAGTCCAATTTACATTATTTCTTAAGGGAAAATTTGATTCGATATTAACAACATTCTCAGGAACCAATTCCCAATCCAGAGGTTCCACCCTATCACTGTTGTAATGTCACTATAGTCACTGTATTACTGTTGTAATGTCACTACAGTCACTATCATTGTTGTAAAATCACTAGTCCCTGTATCACTGTTGTAATGTCACTATAGTCACTGTATCACTGTTTTAATGTCACTGCAGTCACTATCACTGTTGTAACATCACTGTATCACTGTTGTAACGTTACTACAGCCACTATCACTATTGTAATGTCACTACAGTCACTGTATCACTGCTGTAACCTCACTACAGTCACTATCACTTGTAATGTCACTACAGTCACTGTATCACTGTTGTTACATCACAAGTCACTGTATCACCGTTGTAATGTCACTAGTCACTGTATCACTGTTGTAACGTCACTAGTCACTGTATCACTGTTGTAACGTCACTACAGTCACTGAATCACTGTTGTAACGTCACTGCAGTCCCTATCACTTGTAATGTCACTACAGTCACTGCATCACTGTTGTAACAACACTACAGTCACTATCACTTTTGTAATGTCACTAGTCACTGTATCACTGTTGTTACATCCCAACAGTCACTGTATCACTGTTGTTACATCCCAACAGTCACTGTATCAGTTGTTACATCCCAAGTCACTGTATCACTGTTGTAACATCACTAGTCACTGTATCACTGTTGTAAAATCACTAGTCACTGTATCACTGTTGTAACATCACTAATCACTGTTGTAACGTCACTAGTCACTGTATCACTGTTGTTACATCACAACAGTTACTGTATCACTGTTGTAAAATCAAGTCACTGTATCACTGTTGTAATGTCACTAATCACTGCATCACCACTGTAACATCGCACATCACCGTATTGCTGTGGAAGCATCACAACAGTGCCAACAATCACTGTTATTTCACAAGTGCCAACAATCACTTCTTATATCACAACAGTGCCAAGTCACTATATCACTGTTCTTATAACACAAGTGCCAACAGCCACTATATCACTGTTGTAATGTCACAACAGTGCCAACAGTAACTATATCACTGTTGTAATGTCACAAAAGTGCCAAGTCACTATATCACTGTTGTAATGTCATAACAGTGCCAACAGTCACTATATTACTGCTGTAACATCACAACAGTGCCAACAATCACTATATCTCTGTTGTAACATCACAACAGTGCCAACAGTCACTATATTACTGCTGTAACATCACAACAGTGCCAACAATCACTATATCTCTGTTGTAACATCACAACAGTGCCAACAGTCACTATATTACTGCTGTAACATCACAAGTGCCAACAATCACTATATCACTGTTGTAACATCACAACAGTGCCAACAGTCACTATATTACTGCTGTAACATCACAACAGTGCCAACAGTCACTATATCACTGTTGTAATGTCACAACAGTGCCAACAGTCACTATATCACTGTTATAATGTCAATGCATGAATCGCCACAAAAATTGAAGAATTTTTGACGACAAAATTTCATTCGCTCCGACACAATGAATTAAGGTTCGTGGTCCGTTGCCGGACCACCAGTGGTCCAGCAGCGGTCCCAGATGTTATGTAGAAGCTCTAAACTCTTATGGGGCTCGGAGAACACAGCTATTGGCCCAGGAGACCCTGGTCCACTAGTAGTCTGGGCCACTGGCACTGGTCTAGTGGCTCTGGGCCACTGGCCTATTGGCACCGGGCCACTGGCATTGGTCTAGTGGCACTGGGCCACTGGCATTGGTCTAGTGGCACCGGGCCACTGGTCTAGTGGCACTAGGCCACTGGCACTGGTCTAGTGGCACTAGGCCACTGGCACTGGTCTAGTGGCTCTGGGCCACTGGTCTAGTGGCACTAGGCCACTGGCACTGGTCTAGTGGCTCTGGGCCACTGGTCTAGTGGCACTAGGCCACTGGCACTGGTCTAGTAGCACTGGGCCACTGGCACTGGTCTAGTGGCACTGGTCTAGTGGCACTGGGCCACTGGCACTGGTCTAGTGGCACCGGGCCACTGGCACTGGTCTAGTGGCACCGGGCCACTTGCACTAGTCTAGTGGCACCGGGCCACTTGCACTGGTCTAGTGGCACCGGGCCACTGGCACTGGTCTAGTGACACCGGGCCACTGGCACTAGTCTAGTGGCACCGGGCCACTTGCACTGGTCTAGTGGCACTGGGCCACTGGCACTGGTCTAGTGGCACTGGTCTAGTGGCACTGGGCCACTTGCACTGGTCTAGTGGCACTGGGCCACTGGCACTGGTCTAGTGGCACCGGGCCACTTGCACTGGTCTAGTGGCACTGGGCCACTGGCATTGGTCTAGTGGCACCGGGCCACTGGCACTGGTCTAGTGGCACCGGGCCACTTGCACTGGTCTAGTGGCACTGGGCCACTGGCACTGGTCTAGTGGCACCGGGCCACTTGCACTGGTCTAGTGGCACCGGGCCACTTGCACTGGTCTAGTGGCACTGGGCCACTGTTGTGGTCCACTGGCCCTGATGACTGGTGTGGTCCACTAGTTCGGGCCACTGGCACTGGTCCACTACTCTGGTCCACTGGCCCTGAAGACTGGCCTGGTCCACTATTTGAGGCCACTGTCACTGGGCCACTAATTTGGGCCACTACTTCTGGTCCAGTGGCACCGGGCCACTAGCCTGGGCCACTAGCTTGGGCCATTGGCCCAAACGGCAGAGCAGGGACCACTGGACCTGGTCTAGTGGCCCCTGGGCCAGTACCCTTGCCCAGTGGCCCGGGCCAGCAGCTGGCCACCCCAAAACACCCCCGTGGGTGGGCCGCCCACACATGGGCACCCACATACCCCACACCAGGGGGGAGAGGGGGTGGCACCACCCACGGGGGTGGGCCAGGGGTGGGCCAGGGTGGGCCAGGGGGGGTGGGCCATCACAGGGGGGAATCAATACACATGGGTGGGCGGGCGGGTGTACCACACACACACACAAACACACACACGCCCACACCGCCGCCCACACCGCCGCCCACGCCCACACGCCACCACCCCCCTCACCGGGGCACACACGCCGCCCCCACCGCCCACCAACAGGCCGCCCACGCCGCCCACAAACACTCACAAACACAACTAAAATTTTTTCGGCCTTGAGGGAAGCGAATAAAGCTCAAGTTCCGCCGCCCGCCGCTAGAGGGCCACCCGGGACCCCCCACCACCCCCCAAACCACCACCCACCACCCCCACACCCCCTCCCCACCACAGCCGCCATCACCCCTAACTCAAACAAACCGATTTTCACCATTTTAAAATATTTTTAGGCCGTTTTGGGGTGCGTTGTGGCCGTCGAAAAATTCTACGGAGTTTTTCCCACCCGGAGACATGCGTATTGTTGTGTTTTGAGGTGGTTTTTGAGGTAAAATTGGATAAATAAGATTTTGTGTTTTTCTATTTTTCCTTATTTACGTCTTATATCATCTTTATTATGACTCAATAATACTCTTAAAAAATCTACAGCAATTTATTGACCTAGAAAATATATATTGCTCTGTTTTGAGGTGATTTTTATATTAAAAAATGGATAAATAAGATCCGCACTCTTCGTATTTTCCTTATTTATGCCTTATATCATCTTTATTATGACTCAAAAACGCTATTAAAAATTCTATATAATTTTTTTTGGCTTGGGAAATATATATTGTTGATATTTGATGCTATTTTCATGTTAATAATTGGCTAAATAAGATCTGGATTCTCAGTATTTTCCTTATTTACATCTTATATCATTTTTTTTAAGACTCGAAAATACTTTTTAAAAATTCTAGGGTATTTTATGAGCCCGGGAAATATATATTGTTCTGTTTTGAGGTGATTTTTTATGTTAAAAATGGGTAAATAAGATCTGGAGTCCCAGCATTTTCCTTATTTACATTTTATATCATCTTTATTATGACTCAAAAATGCTATTAAAAAATTCCAGAGCAATTTTTTGACTTGGGAAATATATATTGTTCTCTTTTGACTTGAATATTATATTAAAAATAGGTAAATAAGATTTGCACTCGTTATATTTTCCTTATTTACGTCTTATATCATCCTTATTACACCTTAATCACGCTTTCAGAAATTAATTTATCAATTGATATACCTCCAAAAATATATATTATTGTATTTAGACGTGATTATTATACTAAAATTTGTTAAATAAGATCTAGACTCCCAGTGTTTTTTCCTTATTTTCTAATATTCCTTATTTACGTCTTTTATCATCTTTATTATACCTCTTTGGAACTCTTAAAAAATTCTACATATTTTTATGAGTCTAAAAAATAAATATTGTAATATTCTGACGTGATTATCATATTAAAAATAGCAAAATAAGGTTTAGACTCGTATTATTTTTCTTATTTATGTCTTATACACCAATAATATGTCTCAAAAATACTTTTAAAAACATCTGTATTAATTTATTGACCTTAAAAATAAATATTATTGCATTCTGAAGTGATTATCTTATGATTTGTACTCCTATTATTTTCGCTATTTGTGTCTTATATCACCTTTTTTATAACTCAAAAATACTCCTAAAAAAATCTACGTCATTTTATACATATATATACAAAATATTATTATATTTAAACTTGGTTATCATACTAAAAATAGCTAAAATAAGGACTGGACTGCTAGTACTTTCCTTATTTACGTCTCATATCGCCCATATTAGGCTTATTTTCGCTATATTAATCATACAAAAGATAGTTCCTAGTATGATATTAATCATAGTTCTTCTAGAAGTATGCTAGAATCATACTAGAAGCAGTAGTTCTAGTATATACAATAGATTCTAACATTCCTACCTTATTATAGGCTAACAGACCTTATTTCTAGCAAATATTTTATGAATAGTTGTATACATAGGTATAGAAAGTATCTCTAACCATCTAAGATAGACAGAGATGTATCGATAGATAAAAGTATATCTAACCATCTAAGATAATATAGAGAAGTGTAGACAGTATCTCTAGGTTATAGAAAGTTATTCCAAAGTTGTATAGTTACTTAGAAAGTTGTATAGTAACTTAGAAAGTTGTATAGTTACTTAGAAAGTTGTATAGTTACTTAGAAAGTTGTATAGTTACTTAGAAAGTTGTATAGTTACTTAGAAAATTGTATAGTTACTTAGAAAGTTGCATAGTTATTCTAGACAATTTATTCTAGATAACACACACACACACCAGGGGCCAGCAGCTGTGACTCAACCCCTGCAATCACAACTAGGTGAGTACACACACACACACACGCACACACATACACACAACACACACACACACACACACACACACACACACACACACACACACAACAACACACACACACAACCACAACACACACACACACACAGGATCCATACAACTTAAAAGAGATACAATAATGAGGTGACCAGGAGTGTAACCGTACCTACAACCTCAAATAGTCTAAAAAGCTTAGTGTACCACTAAACTGTGATTTACCTGAGTTTACTGGAGAGATTACTGGGTCAACGCCCCGACACGCATGTGGCCAGCCACTGGGTGGATCAACCCTGATCAACCAAGTAGATGATTGTTCGATTTAACCCGAGCCAGCCACGCTGATCCAGAAAGTGCATTGTGCTGTCGGAGTGCAACTTGAATTCATTGGCGTTATCTTGGCCAGATCCCCTACGTCGCTGAGCATGAACAGTCTTTGGCCTGCTAGTGAACATGAACATGTAAGGATACGTTACGTGTTGACACCCCGCTTGCATTGGAGGGGGCCTCGTCTGCAAGTCTTGCGTACGAGTGTGACTTTCCGGGGCCAAGTTGGTAACGTCCCCAGGATTTTACCAGTGTCCATAACAATTAATGACCTACATGCGTCGGGGAACAGGTAGTGGAACCCAGCCTCACACAATATAGTGATAATCTCCGTTGCGCCCCGGAAATGTTCTCTTAAGTATCGTAATAAGTAAGTAAGTAACGTTAATAGTTATAGAATTATCAGTTACACGAATTATCATGTGTAGTGAAGAACCTGGGATAACCCAAAAAAGTCAGACAGAGTGACTTATTTCCATTGGGGTCAAACTTAACAGGCTCTTTAATTCCAGCTTAATAGGCCTATGGAAGGACACCTTTCTGACCTGTATGGCAGTGGATGAGACAAGATAATGCCTATTTCAATAAGCTTTTTTTATATTCTCAGATATATAACTGCCTGAAATGGCAGCTCATGGTATTGTAGGATAGTTCTCTCTCATGGATGATCATGGGTGACTAGTAGCAAGAGGACAGACCCACGTAAATGAGGTAAGGCTATTTAAAAGGTCGTTTGTGTCCCTGTCTATTTGTTTCTCTAAGTTTTCTTTGGATATTCCCAGAAAGGAAATTGCCTGAAAATGGCAGCTCATGGTATCGTAGGATAGTATCTCTCTCATGGATAATTACTTCTGACTAATAGCAAGCAGATAGTCCCCATAAATGAGGTGAAATCTGACTGTAAATAAGTAAGGGGGAGTTATTGTTCCCGTCTATTTAAATAAGATTTTCTGCATATTCCCATATCGAAAATCTAACTGGTAGTGGCAGTACATGATATCATAGGATATTTTCTCTTATAAATAGTAATTTCTGACTAATAGCAAAAGGATAGACCCCCATAAATGGGGCTAAAATTAGCAAGGGGACTAGCCACAAGTAGCCTTCCAGAGGGCCCATGTTCACCACATAAAGACACCCAGGTGTTGTACATGTGTCTTATTCATCAATAAAGACACCCAGGTGTTGTACATGTGTCTTATTCATTAATAAAGTCACCCAGGTGTTGTACATGTGTCTTATTCATCAATAAAGTCACCCAGGTGTTGTACATGTGTCTTATTCATCAATAAAGACACCTAGGTGTTGTACATGTGTCTTATTCATCAATAAAGACACCTAGGTGTTGTACATGTGGCTTATTCATCAATAAAGACACCCAGGTGTTGTACATGTGTCTTATTCATCAATAAAGACACCCAGGTGTTGTACATGTGTCTTATTCATCAATAAAGACACTCAGGTGTTGTACATGTGTCTTATTCATCAATAAAGACACCCAGGTGTTGTACATGTGTCTTATTCATCAATAAAGACACCCAGGTGTTGTACATGTCTTATTCATCAATAAAGACACCTAGGTGTTGTACATGTGTCTTATTCATCAATAAAGACACCCAGGTGTTGTACATGTGTCTTATTCATCAATAAAGACACCCAGGTGTTGTACATGTGTCTTATTCATCAATAAAGACACCCAGGTGTTGTACATGTGTCTTATTCATCAATAAAGACACCCAGGTATTGAAGATTGACTTGAAACCCCATTAACCAACCAACCAGCCTTAATGACCCTGGTGTAGTAGATAGACTTTAAACCCCATTAATCTGCCATCCCCATAAGGTCAGTACAATCTTTCCCACACGTTTGTATTGACCTTAACACACATCCTGAATACCTTGTTCCAGTCTTCTTGACCTTCACCTCTTCCTTATTAGGTACCAGGGTGTTGAGGTAACTACCAGGGTGCTGAGGTAACTACCAGGGTGCTGAGGTAACTACCAGGGTGCTGAGGTAACTACCAGGGTGCTGAGGTAACTATCAGGGTGCTGAGGTAACTATCAGGGTGCTGAGATAACTATCAGGGTGTTGAGGTAACTACCAGGGTGCTGAGGTAACTACCAGGGTGCTGAGGTAACTACCAGGGTGCTGAGGTAACTACCAGGGTGTTGAGGTAACTACCAGGGTGCTGAGGTAACTACCAGGGTGCTGAGGTAACTATCAGGGTGCTGAGGTAACTATCAGGGTGCTGAGGTAACTACCAGGGTGCTGAGGTAACTACCAGGGTGCTGAGGTAACTACCAGGGTGCTGAGGTAACTACCAGGGTGTTGAGGTAACTATCAGGGTACTGAGGTAACTACCAGGGTGCTGAGGTAACTACCAGGGTGCTGAGGTAACTATCAGGGTGCTGAGGTAACTATCAGGGTGCTGAGGTAACTACCAGGGTGCTGAGGTAACTACCAGGGTGCTGAGGTAACTATCAGGGTGCTGAGGTAACTACCAGGGTGCCCAGGTAACTACCAGGGTGTCCAGGTAACTACCAGGGTGCTAAGGTAACTATCAGGGTGCTGAGGTAACTACCAGGGTGCCCAGGTAACTACCAGGGTGCTAAGGTAACTATCAGGGTGCTGAGGTAACTACCAGGGTGCCCAGGTAACTACCAGGGTGCTGAGGTAACTACCAGGGTGCTGAGGTAACTATCAGGGTGCTGAGGTAACTACCAGGGTGCCCAGGTAACTACCAGGGTGCCCAGGTAACTACTAGGGTGCACAGGTAACTACTAGGGTGCCCATGTAACTACTAGGGTGCCCAGGTCACTACTAAGGTGCCCAGGTAACTACTAGGGTGCCCAGGTAAGTACCATGGTGCTTAGGTAAGTACCAGGGTGCTTAGAAAAGTACCAGGGTGTCCAGATAAGTACCAGGATGCCCAGGTAAGTACCAGGGTGTCCACATAAGCACCAAGGTGCTCAGGTAAGTACCAGGGTGTCCAGGTAAGTACCACGATGCCCAGGTAAGTACCAGGATGCCCAGGTAAGTATCAGGATGCCCAGGTAAGTACCAGGATGCCTAGGTAAGTACCAGGGTGCCCAGATAAGTACCAGTGTGCCCAGGTAAGTAACAGGGTGCCAAGGTAAGTACCAGAGTGTTTAGGTAAGTACCAGGATGCCCAGGTAAGTACACTTACCAGGGTGCCCAGTTAATACCAGGGTGCTTAGGTAAGTACCAGAGTGCCCAGATAAGTACCAGGGTGCCCAGGTAAGTATCAGGGTGGCCAAGTAAGTACCAGGGTGCCCAGGTAAGTACCAGGGTACTTAGGTAAGTACCAAGGTGCCCAGGTAAGTACCAGAGCGCTCAGGGAAGTACCCTCGTCCTTGACACACTTAACACTGACTGCGCTAGTACGTGATACTTCCCTACGCTAGTACTTGGCACTTCCCTGCACTGGTACGAGGTACTTCCTGCGCTGTTTCGTGGCACTTCCTTACGCTGGTACGTGGCACTTCCCTGTACTGGTACGAGGTACTTCCTGCGCTGGTACGTGGCACTGCAACTTACCAGCAGACACTGCCACCTTGCACATAGGAGTGCCACTCTCCTGGGCACTTCCCTCATGGGCACTGCCAGGGAAAGTGCCAGAGGGCAGTAGGATGAAGGTGGTAGCGCGCATGTGCGCAGGTGACCCTGTTCTATAAATCTGCTGCGCTACGGCAGTGCCAGCCAGTCTGCACCTAGCTCCCTGTGTCCTCCTAGGTGCTACCTGTATCTCTGTGTGCTCCTAGGCACTACGGCAGTGCCAGCCAGTCTGCACCTAGCTCCCTGTGTCCTCCTAGGTGCTACCTGTATCTCTGTGTGCTCCTAGGCACTACGGCAGTGCCAGCCAGTCTGCACCTAGCTTCCTGTGTGCTCCTAGGTGCTACCAGTATCTCTGTGTGCTCCTAGGCACTACGGCAGTGCCAGCCAGTCTGCACCTAGCTTCCTGTGTGCTCCTAGGTGCTACCTGAGTCTGTGTGTCCTCCTAGGTGCTCCCTGCGTCTGTGTGCTCCCAGGTGCGCCTGTGTGTTCCTAGGTGCTATATCTCTGTGTGCTAGGTGTTGTGTATCTGTGTGCTCCTAGGTGCTGTGTATCTGTGTGCTCCTAGGTGCTGTGTGTGTTCCTAGGTGCTGTGCATCTGTGTGTTCTTAGGTGCTGTGTATCTGTGTGTTCCTAGGTGGTGTGTGTGTTCCTAGGTGCTGTGCATCTGTGTGTTCCTAGGTGCTGTGTATCTGTGTGTTTCTAGGTGCTATGTGTGTTCCTAGGTGCTGTGCATCTGTGTGTTCCTAGGTGCTGTGTATCTGTGTGTTTCTAGGTGCTATGTGTGTTTCTAGGTGCTGTGCATCTGTGTGTTCCTAGGTGCTGTGTATCTGTGTGTTCCTAGGTGCTGTGCATCTGTGTGTTCCTAGGGGCTGTGTATCTGTGTGTTCCTAGGTGCTGTGTGTGTTCCTAGGTGCTGTGCATCTGTGTGTTCGTAGGTGCTGTGTATCTGTGTGTTCCTAGGTGCTGTGTATCTGTGTGTTCCTAGGTGCTGTGTGTGTTCCTAGGTGCTGTGCATCTGTGTGTTCCTAGGTGCAGTGTATCTGTGTGTTCCTAGGTACTGTGTGTGTTCCTAGGTGTTGTGTATCTGTGTGTTCCTAGGTGCTGTGTATCTGTGTGTTCCTAGGTACTGTGTGTGTTCCTAGGTGTTGTGTATCTGTGTGTTCCTAGGTGCTGCGCATCTGTGTGTTCCTAGATGCTGTGTATCTGTGTTCCTAGGTGCTGTGTATCTGTGTGTTCCTAGGTGCTGTGTATCTGTGTGTTCCTAGGTGCTGTGTATCTATGTTCCTAGGTGCTGTGTCTCTGTGTGCTCCTAGGTGTTGTATGAACGCCTGTATTCACCTAGGTGTTCCTAGGTGCCAATAAATGAAACAAAGTGCCTATTAGCAATTATTATTATTATTATTATTATTATTATTATTATTATTATTATTATTATTATTATTATTATTATTATTATTATTATTATGATCATCATTATTACAGAAATTACCTAAAATTTGTATTAAAATTTCAAGTGAAAGAAACAATAAGGAAAAATGAAATAAAATAAAAAATAACGAAAAAATCAGATGTGAACGAAAATAAAAGACAAAAATAACGAAAGTTGATAAATTATTTGAGAGTGAGCTAAAAATTGTGAGAAAATTACGAAACTTATCGTTCAAGGTGAGTTGTACATGATTTGTTGTGTGTATTGTATATGATTTGTTGAGTGTATTGTATATGATTTGTTGAGTGTATTGTATATGATTTGTTGAGTGTATTGTACATGATTTGTTGAGTGTATTGTATATGATTTTTTGAGTGTATTGTATATGATTTGTTGAGTGTATTGTATATGATTTGTTGAGTGTATTGTATATGATTTGTTGAGTGTATTGTATATGATTTGTTGAGTGTATTGTATATGATTTGTTGAGTGTATTGTATATGATTTGTTGAGTGTATTGTACATGATTTGTTGAGTGTATTGTATATGATTTGTTGAGTGTATTGCATATGATTTGTTTACCTGGAGTTTACCTGGAGAGAGTTCCGGGGGTCAACGCCCCCGCGGCCCGGTCTGAGACCAGGCCTCCTGGTGGATCACAGCCTGATCAACCAGGCTGTTGCTGCTGGCTGCACGCAAACCATCATACGAGCTACAGCCCGGCTGATCCGGAACTGACTTTAGGTGCTTGTCTAGTGCCAGCTTGAAGACTGCCAGGGGTCTGTTGGTAATCCCCCTTATGTGTGCTGGGAGGTAGTTGAACAGTCTCGGGCCCCTGACACTTATTCTATGGTCTCTTAACGTGCTAGTGACACCCCTGCTTTCATTGGGGGATGGTGCATCGTCTGCCAAGTCTTTTGCTTTCGTAATGAGTGATTTTCGTGTGCAAGTTCGGTACTAGTCCCTCTAGGATTTTCCAGGTGTATATAATCATGTATCTCTCCCTCCTGCGTTCCAGGGAATACAGGTTTAGGAACCTCAAGCGCTCCCAATAATTGAGGTGTTTTATCTCCGTTATGCGCGCCGTGAAAGTTCTCTGTACATTTTCTAGTCGGCAATTTCACCTGCCTTGAAAGGTGCTGTTAGTGTGCAGCAATATTCCAGCCTAGATAGAACAAGTGACCTGAAGAGTGTCATCATGGCTTGGCCTCCCTAGTTTTGAAGGTTCTCATTATCCATCCTGTCATTTTTCTAGCAGATGCGATTGTACAATGTTATGGTCCTTGAAGGTGAGATCCTCCGACATGATCACTCCCAGGTCTTTGACGTTGGTGTTTCGCTCTATTTTGTGGCCAGAATTTGTTTTGTACTCTGATGACGATTTAATTTCCTCATGTTTACCATATCTGAGTAACTGAAATTTCTCATCGTTGAACTTCATATTGTTTTCTGCAGCCACTGAAAGATTTGGTTGATGTCTGCCTGGAGCTTTGCAGTGTCTGCAATGGAAGACACTGTCATGCAGATTCGGGTGTCATCTGCAAAGGAAGACACGGTGCTGTGGCTGACATCCTTGTCTATGTCGGATATAGGATGAGGAACAAGATGGGAGCGAGTACTGTGCCTTGTGGAACAGAGCTTTTCACCGTAGCTGCCTCGGACTTTACTCTGTTGACGACTACTCTCTGTGTTCTGTTAGTGAGGAAATTATAGATCCATCGACCGACTTTTCCTGTTATTCCTTTAGCACGCATTTTGTGCGCTATTACGCCATGGTCACACTTGTCGAAGGCTTTTGCAAAGTCTGTATATATTACATCTGCATTCTTTTTGTCTTCTAGTGCATTTAGGACCTTGTCGTAGTGGTCCAATAGTTGAGACAGACAGGAGCGACTGTTCTAAACCCATGTTGCCCTGGGTTGTGTAACTGATGGGTTTCTAGATGCGTGGTGATCTTGCTTCTTAGGACCCTTTCAAAGATTTTTATGATATGGGATGTAGTGCTATTGGTCTGTAGTTCTTTGCTGTTGCTTTACTGCCCCCTTTGTGGAGTGGGGCTATGTCTGTTGTTTTTAGTAACTGTGGGACGACCCCCGTTGTCCATGCTCCTCTCCATAGGATGGAAAAGGCTCGTGATAGGGGCTTCTTGCAGTTCTTGATGAACACAGAGTTCCATGAGTCTGGCCCTGGGGCAGAGTGCATGGGCATGTCATTTATCGCCTGTTCGAAGTCATTTGGCGTCAGGATAACATCGGATAGGCTTGTGTTAATCAAAATTTTGTGGCTCTCTCATAAAAAATTCATTTTGATCTTCGACTCTCAGTCTGGTTAGCGGCTTGCTAAAAACTGAGTCATATTGGGACTTGAGTAGCTCACTCATTTCCTTGCTGTCATCTGTGTAGGACCCATCTTGTTTAAGTAGGGGCCCAATACTGGACGTTGTTCTCGATTTTGTGTTGGCATAGGAGAAGAAATACTTTGGGTTTCTTTCGATTTCATTTATGGCTTTTAGTTCTTCCCCGGATTCCTGACTCCTAAAGGATTCTTTTAGCTTAAGTTCGATGCTTGCTATTTCTCTGACCAGTGTCTCCCTGCGCATTCAGATATATTGACCTCTTTTAGCCGCTCTGTTATTCTTTTCCGTCGCCTGTAAAGGGAGCGCCTGTCTCTTTCTATTTTACATCTACTCCTCCTTTTTCTTAGAGGAATAAGCCTTGTGCATACATCGAGTGCCACCGAGTTAATCTGTTCTAGGCATAAGTTTGGGTCTGTGTTGCTTAGTATATCTTCCCAGCTTATATCGGTTAGGACTTGGTTTACTTGGTCCCACTTTATGTTTTTGTTTTAAATTAATTTTTGGTAAGCTCCGTCTATATTTGGGCTGGGCTCCCACCGCTTCCCATCTTGAACCCACTTTTAAATGGGGATATGGGACGTTTTTGTTTTTGATATGGAAAGAAATTTCTTTCGATTCATTTAGGTTTTAGGTTCTTGGATTCTCCCTAAAGGTTCTTATTTTTGTGTTTTTTTTGACATTTTTGGCATTAGATTTAAAACTCTTGGGGTTGATTTTTCCCCCAAAGAGCGCCTTTGTTTTTCTCCATTTTCTTATTCCTCCTTTTTTTAGGGTGCCTTTTTGAAATCCCGGAAGCGGGATTTTTGGGTCGGGGGAAGATTTTCCAGCAATGGTTTAATTTTTAAACTGTCTGTTTGATTGCTTGAAGTTGATGGGGTGAAGTCCCTGACTAGTTTTTGGTTCTCCCCTTTTACTGCTAAACCCCAATTATTTGGGCATTAAGTTTTTGAAAAGTGCTTCTTACGGGCCAACTTTTGTGTTAATCTGGTAATCTGTTAGGTTTTATTGGGTTTTATTAATTTTTTCAAGGGGTTAAAAATCTTATGTGGGTTTCCATGAAGCCGCCCTTGGTTTTTCTGCAAAAATTTATTTGTATATTTTTTGGGGTGTTAATTGTATCCCAAGGATGTTGGGTGTAAGGGGAATGTTTTTTGAGGGGTAATTTAAATGTTTGTTGGTGATTGAATGATTGTTGGTGTATTGACTGGATTTGTTTGATTTGAAAAATTATACGTTTTGGGGTTAAGGTTTGTAAAATGATTTGAAATGTACAGGAATTTTTTGTATTGTCATGTTGTTAGTGAAATCTTTAATTTGTTGGGTATTTTTTTATGATTTTATTGGTTATTGAAACCGGAATTGTTGTTGAAGGGTGTATTGTAATGATTTGTTGAGTGTATTTATTAAATTTGTTGAGTGTTTTGGGAAATATGATTTTTTTAGTGTATTGTATATGATTGTTGAGTGTATTGTAATGATTTGTTGAGTGTATTTACATGATTTGTTGAGTGTTTTAAATACTTAAATTTGTTGAGTGTTTTTGTATATGATTTGTTAGGTATTGTAAATGTTTTGTTGAGTGTATTGTAATGATTTGTAGTGGTATTATCTTGATTTGTTGGTGTATTTTTATTGATTTTTTGAGTGTATTGTACATAAATTTGTTGAGTGTATTTACTGATTTGTTGAGTGTATTATATTGATTTGTTGAGGATTGTAATGATTTGTTAGTGTATTTATATTGATTTGTTAAATGTATTGTAATGATTTTTGAGTGTATTTAATTGATTTTTGATGTATTATACTGTTTTGTTAAGTGAAATTTATTGATTTGTTGAGGTATTGTAATAATTTGTTGAGTGTATTGTAAATGATTTTTTAGTGTATTTTTGATTTGTTGGGTTTTATTGTAATGATTTGTTGAGGTATTTACTTGATTTGTTGAGTGTATTTATTGATTTGTTGAGTGTATTGTATATGATTGTTGAAAAGATTGTACATGATTTTGAGTGTATTATACTTGATTTTTAAATGTATTGTAATGATTTTTTGAGTGTATTGTAATGATTTGTTGAGTATTTACTTTTTTTGAGTGTATTATACTTGATTTGTTGAGGGTTATTATATTTTTTGGGTTGGTGTATTATATTGATTTTTTGGGTGAAATTGTAGATTTGTTTGAGTGTATTGTACATGATTTGTTAAAGTGTATTATACTTGATTTGTTGAGTTATTTATTGATTTGTTGAGTGTATTTATTGATTGTTGGATATTGAAACATGATTTGTTGAGTGAAATTGATTGTTTTGGTGTATTTGTACATGATTTGTTGAATTGTATTAAATGATTTGTTGAGTGTATTTATTTTATTTTTGAGTGTATTATATTGATTTGTTGAGTGTATTTACTGATTTGTTGAGTGTATTTATTGATTTGTTGTGTATTTGTACGATTTGTTAGTGTATTGTAATGATTTGTGAGTTTTTTAACTTGATTTGTTGAGTGTATTTACATGATTTGTTGAGTGTATTATACTTGATTTGTTGTGTATATTGTAATGATTTGTTGAGGATTGTATTGATTTGTTAGTGTTATTGTAATGATTTGTTAAAGTATATTATATGATTTGTTGAGGTATTTACATGATTTTTTTATTGTATGATTGAGTGTATTGTACATGATTTGTTGAGTATATTGTAATGATTTGTGAGTGTATTGTACATAAATTGTTGAGTGTATTATATTGATTTGTTGAGTTATTTACTTGATTTGTTGTGTTATTGTACATGATTTGTTGAGTGTTTATACTTGATTTGGGATGATATTTACTTGAATTTGTTGAGTGTATTGTATATGATTTGTTGAGTGTATTGTATATGA